CAAAAATACAAATTCCATGGAAGATTTTCCAGTGAACACTGGTTCTGCAGCAACGACAGCAAGCAACAGTTTGAAAGGACAGCATTTACCAGACACAGCCACTACAAAGCCAGTATTCGCTGCAGTTGCAGCGGCGCAAATTTCGCACTCAAGCACTACAACCCATAATATATTCCAGTTTCAAACGCAGTCAAGCACTGCAGCTGCTGCTGAGCGCCAGTTCACCGCTGCAGCAGTACCCCCGGTTCAAACATCGTCGTCAAGCACAATTTCAGTTACCCCAACAGCAACAGAAGAAAGCTCAGTGGAACTTGCAAATGCAGCTGCCAGCAATGCATTCGATGCCCACACAGCACCAACCTTGTTTCAGATGTCCACAGTTTCCAGCTCGAACTCATCTCACACATTAAAACCTCTTGGAAATATAACGAACGGGCCCATTTCTCCGTCTAGCATTTCTCATATAACAAAAATAACTCGCGCGTGGAACTCCACAGATAGGCCATCAACAGCGAATTCGAGCAACTTGCCGTCATTTATCACACTGCAGAAGAACGTGCCTCTGGGAGACATGCACATCGTACAGGCTGTAGATCCGCCAAGCGCAGCTGCCGGCGAAACTAGCCCGAATTCCTCAACCGCTGATTCTGTTGGAACTACGAACGGAACGCCAACTTCAAATACCACTCTAACAATGTCAGTTAATAACTCAACACTTAGCCCAAATACAACGTTCTGTAAGGATTCGCTCACGGCGAGTGCTTGCGATGATGAGCTTGGAGACGCATGCACCATTCTGCAAGAACCTGATGAGTAGGTCTTTTTTAGCGCTTCTTTTCATATTCATTTTAGCCCGGGCAGAACATGAGGGCCGCTCTTTTTCGATTCGTCTCTGCCCCGAGTATTCAGGATACTACCTGACAAAATAATTTCTAACAGTTACAATGAACGCTAGATTTTATTTTAGTCTTCAGTATGAGCGTCGATCCGAAATGCAACGATGCGAAGTATGCGGCGATTGCGAATAAATGCCGAAAACGCTGCCGCTCATGTTGCCTTCATCCTGATTATAACTGTGTCAATGCTCCAGGTTGCAGTGTTCCTTGTAATACTTATAATTCTGTGTAATGCGGCTATCTGTGCAGATTTGCAGATGGCTGCATAAAATTGTCTAAAATTTGAAAAAACACTGAGACTAGGAAAACGTTGAAGACCAACTATATTCAGTATTATGAAGGGTGCTAAGAATTTCTGTTCAATCTCCAATTTACAGCAGAATAAGATCAGCCAGCAGAGACATCGTCATTCCTGTTCGAAGAAAACAAATTCAAAATGAAAATGATGAAAAGCAACAGGGATGGAGTGCAGCATTGTCTTTTAAGCTCTAGAAATTTCAGATCCGGTGATGGACTGTGAATTTGCTGTGAAACAACACTTATGCAATACTACAAATTATCTCATGAAAATGATCCTTGCTCAGGATTGTCCAGCATCCTGCGGCCTCTGCAACTGTAAGAATTGTTGTCCAAAAAAATCTCTAATGGGAGCAATGTTATGCTGCAACCCAGACAACACGACTCCGGAAATTCTTGTTGCAGATCACTAGTTGATACTGTAAATTATTATTCTCGTAATTTTTCGTTTTAATGAAACCTATCCCGGAGTCAGCAGTTGAAGCTCGCTTGACTAGCACTTACTGCAGATTGCTCAGACGATGGATCGAATTGCTATTTGATGATAAATTACTGCACACATCCACTGTATGCCGAACTGATGACGAAAAAATGCCGAAGAACTTGCGGCAAATGTTATGCTGAATCGTCATGCCGAGACAGCTCATCCAGGTGCTTAGAATCTTGTGCCTAGACTTTCCAAGCTCGATTTTGTGTTTATAGTGGGTGAATGAGAGAAAACACAGATGATTTTACTTCGTCACGATGGACTTTTGGCGCGCGGCAAAGAGTTCTCTT